TGCATTTAGGGGGCCTAGTTTGGCTTTATCCTGGTTCTCCACCTATTAGTCCAGAGTCAGTGAGCTCCCACTTGCTTAGGTCAGCTTTTTCTGTGGTTTTCCCCATCATGGTCTTGACCCCTATTAGCACTCCTCCCGCTCTTCAACTGGACTCCAGGAGCTCTGCTGAGTGGTTAGTTGTTAACCTACTTAATTTTGAGACACTCAAGGCCAAAATATTAGGAAGACAGTTTGAAATAGGGGCTTGGAGCACAAGAAGAAAGATTGGAAGTTAGAGAAGTAAATATAATACGGAGTTAATCAGCATGATCTTCTGGTATTTCATCATTTCCCAAACCACATTTGATCACTTCTATGTATATCAGAAATCAGGATGCAGCTTGTGATCTTTCACAGCCAGGTAGCAACCATGAAGTAGTTGTTCTTTGCTGTTAAGAACATGCACAGGCAGGTGTAGTTATTGCTTTATATACTCTTTGAGGGGCCTGTCACACAGTTCCCAAATAAATACACAGAGGCATATTCTTTCTTACAAATTCCAGCCTTAGCGTGGTTTGTTTCTAGCCAGCTTTTCTTAAGTATTCCATCTACCTTTTGCCTCTTGGCTTTTACCTTTTTCCCTTTCTGTATTACCTTTCACTCTTACTCCGTGGTTTGCTGTCTCACTGGGTGGCTGGCCCCTGATGTCCTCTCTCCTTCTTTTCTTGTTCCTTGATCTTCTCTTCCCAGATTTCTCCTTCTAGTTATTCTCTCTGCCTGCCAGCCCTGCCTATCTTTTCTCCTCCCTAATTATTGGCCATTCAGCTCTTTATTAGACCAATCAGGTGTTTTAGGCAGGCAAAGTAACACAGTTTCACAGAGTTCAACAAATGCAACAGAAAAGAATGCAGCACATGTTTGCATCATTAAACATGTATTCCACAGCATAAGCAAATGGAACACATCTTCAACTATTCCTCAACAGGCAGGTTACCATCAGATTTGATGAATCAGTAACTTGACAAAAATTTTCTAGAGACACTGTTTTAATCCTCAAAAAACAAAATGGAGAAGATGAGAAACAGCAAAACATGTACATTCCGAACTTGCCTGAAGCAGGAGCCAAAAATCTGTTTGACCCTTGATATTGTAAGGGAAATGGCTCTAGGAAACCCCTTCAGGTGACAATATCCATAGATGCTGAAGTCTCATCAAGAGATGTAGTATTTGCATATAGCCTATGCACCTCCTCTTCTATACAGATTCTCCTTGACTTAGGATGAGAATTTGTTACACTGGGTTCATGATAAAGTTAAAGTACTGTAAGTTGACCCATCATTAAGTTAGAAACTGTCTTTGGTTTAAGTCATCTCTAAATTGTGTATGCAGTAGAGTATACTTATATTATACTTGTATTGTAATTACTTAACTAACTGTTCCTTAATTACTTATCCAGTAGAGAGAAAATTCTGTGTAAAGAGTTGTTACACTAGATGGTTTAGGGAATAATGATAAGAAAAACAGTCCGTATGTGTTTAGAACACAAAGTGCCATTGTGCCTTATAACAGTACACAAATGCTAGATGCACAACACTGAAACGAAGAGTGCTGTGGGGAGCTACAGCAGAGCATGCCAGCATGCCATTCCATTCAGATGGACTCAGCAGACTGCTCAACACACAGCCCATTCAGGTTGTGACTTTTGGAGTTTTCTGTATTTTCCCCAAATAGTTTTGATTCTAGGTTGTATCCAAAGGTGTA